TGTGTGTGTGTGTGTGTGTGTGTGTGTGTTAGGCATCAAATCGGAAAATGATGATCCATTATGTGCAAGAATTCATTCAACAATCATTTATCGATAATTTTGTATCGAATTACGGTTCGTAAATAAACATCCCGCTCACGTACCACGAACTAACAAACACGCAAATCCCAAATTCTAGCGAACCTGAATGAAAACAAAATGAGCATAAATAAATTATCAATTAAAAATCTCATTCGCTTCAATCATCAAACCGGATTCGAAAATGTGCGATTTTGCATGGAAGATTCGAGTGGACGCACGGGACAAAAATTGTCCCGTTCTCGTTCTCATCATCGTGTGTGCATTGTGCACATCGATTCTATTCACGGTTGTTTTTCCGTTGATCCCAACATTTTGTTGATTAACTATTGTTCTGAAGGTGCATTAAAATGTTTGTACATTTTGTTCGAGCTGTTATCACCCCGCTGACGGCGGGTAATTGAAGCAATTTATGTACCGGGAGTGAGCGAGCGAGCAAACGAACGGGAAAAAGTGTGCATCATAAAACGTAACTGCAAAAATAATGGGTATAGAAGCGTGTTATGCATTTTGAGAGCTAACGTCAAAATTGAATTGGGACGGATCGGGAGAGCGCCGATTTCATGTTCACAAGTACCGAAAAATCCACACATATGAAATAAACCAGTCCGCATGGCTGTGTGTTAAAAACGATTTTGTGCCGTTTTCACGTAGCGCACAACCGACGAATCAGAATATTTGTTGGCAATGGAAAATTAAATTCCATTTTATTAAAATCTATCTACAGTTGAATCGCCGGAACACAAGTGCAGAGTGCGTACTGCATATCCAGATACAAATGTGTCGCTGAGCATAAAAATGGGAATACAGATCTGTTACAGCAACAACCGAACATAAAATATTGTTCTCTAAAAACTTTACATGAATTTCTATCCAACGCGAGTGTAACATGAGCTAACACTGTTTCTAATGCAACTCATGTTACACTCGCGTTAGATGGAAATTCATGTAACGTTTTTAGGGAACAATATTTTATGTTCGGTTGTTGCTGTAACAGATCTGTATTCCCATTTTTATGCTCAGCGACACAAATGTAAACAGTGAATCCATTTGGTTTGGATTTTTAACGATTGTTTTTAACTTTGTGCACAACGCATCGGTAAACAAAAGAGCTGCTAATTTTTATCTGTATTTTTACGACTTTTATCAAGTGAAACCATGTGTTTTTACATGATGTCGAATCCATTAACAATTCGAAACAGTCGAAAATGTCGGTAATGGTAACCAGGACACATAATTCGATTGAAATTGGAAACAAAAATTTAATTAAAATTTTCGTTTGAAGGAAGTCAATATTGATTAAAACTCTGCATGCCGACGCTCGGTGACATAGAGCATCATTCGTTTGAGGGGATGTTTTTTTTTCTTCGTACCAAAATCAATGCCGGGGCATCTATTCACAATTTAAATTTTTAATTGCCGCTTTGCGTTTAGAAATGGGTGGGTGAGATTGCGGGAAAAACGGATGGCATTCCATTAATAGTTGTTATTATTTTGCAATTAAAATTCACTGCTGGAATTCTGAAAGTCATCATCGACCGATATAGCTTCTCGTTCTTTTGCTCGAAGCAATCACCAACCGTGAAATTGATACTCACACATATTTCCTTATTTATTCGTTCGGTCGTTCGTTCGCTCGCTCACTCATTTTTTTATATTAACCACTTTTTCCCACTGATTCAATCTACTGCTGCGTTTCTGTCAGTTCACCAAGCTCACCCAGTCGATTCGTTTTCATTACCTGAATTTGCTCTGACTTTTTCGCCATATTCACACTGAATTAGTAATTCTCGTTGATCATTTTTTCATCGCTGAAAGCGGTTCTGCCTTTAAAGTTATTTTAATGAAATCGTCCTGAGTCACGGTCTCTGCAAACTTTTCATTCGTATTTTTGCCGTTTCTCCCTATGACTTTGCATCGTTTCACCGCGAGAATGCTTCAAGTAAAAAAAAACAAATAAAAACAAATAATATACTTATTATTATTTTCTTGGGGTTTCGGCATTGCAAATAAAAACCATTTCCATGCCACTCTCATGAATTCACCACACTTAAAAAATATTAAATTATATATCGCAAAAACACAACGTTTTATACCGACGAGACAGAAGCAAAAAAAAACACGGAATATGCAATTTAATAGGAATTGGTCTTTTGTGTGCTTCCCGCACCGGTATTTGACCGCTCCAAACAAGAATAATAAATGTATGACTTATGCTAGAAATAACCAAGATAAACGCGACTGTAATGCAAACACAATGCTGGATGCTGTCTCTTTCAGTGAATGAACGTGAGAGAGAGAGAGAAATATTTGTAACCGAAATGTTGAAACCACGCAAACATATTGACGCTGGCAAATTGTTCCAGTGGCATTGGTTGGTATTTGCAAGTGAACAAAACGAAATTTTGAATACCGCCACAATCTACCAATGATGAAACCACACGCAGCACAAACACATTTACCAACTTATTCCTATCTCTAAACGATAAAATGCTATTTACTTTAGCGTTTGAAATGTTTATAGTGTGTTCAAATGAATGTAGCCGCTTGCAACGCTCACTTTGTCTCTGTATCTCTGGTAATTTTACTCTCTCTCCCTCGCTCGGTCTCTTCTCTTCGTGCGACGAAAATTTCTAGGAAAACAGACGAATCATTCATTTATTTTATTTGAGTGTTCTATGGTCGGAGTCGCGCTGAGGTTACATGAATTAATGAATTTGTGTGAACACCTAATGCATGCCGGCCCGTCGATATGGAGGGATGGCAAACGGAATGGCAAAAGCATTCAGTAAATTTTCTAATGTATTTTGGCATACCTGCCAGGAATACTGACCGGAGAAAAATGTGCCGCATCATTAACAGTAAATATTTAATTGACTTCAATGTGTGTACTGGCCGTCTTTTTCCATTTTACATTCGATTTCGATCAACTGACCAAATGATCCGATTCACTTCTCAACTCAATCATTATCGAAATGGAGTTTTTTTTTCAGTGTTGCTATTGCTAACATTAAGAGTTGATTAAAATCACGTCAAATTTGTGTGAGCGATCAAAATGAACTGAATTTTATTAAGTTGTTAATTTTGAACAGTTATTCCAAAAATGCTTAATTGCTAGATATGGTTCGTTGCCTTTAATTTCGAATATTGAACCTTGTTGTTGATGTAAATGAACGTACAGTGCAAATATTTCTCCAATTTCATTGTAGCCCGATGTGATGCAGGCCGCGGAATGTTTTTACAGTGGGAAAAAAACAAACGAGCAAAAATCTGCCTAACAAGGAATTTAAAACGCACGGAATTTTTAATTGGAATGGTTTTTTTCGTTTGAAACTGTTGAAGTTGTGCTCTACCAATAGCAATACCGAAATTTACGTACGAAACTGACAGTACAATGATGATGAACGTGGGTGATGAAAATTCGAAGATTTCTCCGAATCATGGACAAGGAGTTTTTTTTGCGATGAACTTTCTTCCACTCCACCATCAATACATTGAACATCAATTTTAAATATATTCATCCAATCTACCTTTAGGCATATAAATGGGAATTATTCGACTGTCTTCATTTCATCAATGAAATTATTGTTAGTGCCGTGTTACGGGGTTAACATCGAAAGCTTTTGGGAGAATTTGTAATTTTCCAATTCGCGCTGAGTTCTGACATTACACTTGGCCTTATGTTACA